CCTATGACGTTCGGACACTTCACTTCGTGGCATGCGGACGACCGTGGCTACTATTCAGGGCCCCGCGGCCGACGACGACGGCGTGCGCGCGCGAAGAAAAAACGAATGTGTCCCGCATGGTATTATTTGACAGGGATGATGGCCCTGGCAGGTGCGCAACCGTTGTTGCAGAAGTTCGAAAAAGTTGCTCGCAAAAGCCCGTTTGACAGAAATGATTAAAAAGTGTTGGGTTTCCTACGAATCCGCAAGAGCGCGCGGGATGAAATTTTGACAATTTTTTTTTGGAAAACCATTTTTTTGTTTAAAGTTTTTTATGTTAAAATCGCTACGACAACTAAGGTTTTGGAAGGATTTCGTCTTGCGCGCGCGAATGTCCATTTTACCCTGATTTTTTGCAAGGGATTCTTGAAGTTTGGATATGTTAGAACAAGAAATGTCCACTTTAGCTTAATTTTTTGCAAGGGAAAACCGATCGTAACAACACAACCGGATCTGGTACACATCGTTTTGCCTGAGACTTCCTCACGAAAATGATGAAAACGTGGCTGCGGCCTAGGCGCGGCGGGGGGGTCGTGCACCAGGGGTCCCAACAATAATTATTCTTAAGAAGAAATAATGTTCAATCATTGTAATAATGTTCACTGTGTCCTGCTCGCGTGCCATTCAACACGTATAATCCGGACCATTGGTGCCGGCCCTCTTCGTCTTCGAACGTACCCCCTTGGGGGTATATTTTTCTTCCCTGCCGCGTGTAAGTGGCGCAGCCCCTAAAACAAGGGAAGAGAGGGCGGATGGCTGGGGGGAGGGAGGTAAGGATGGAGCACGGGATTCGAAGGAAGGGGGCTAGGAGCAGAAAGCACATGGTAGAACCAGACGGGCAGAGCGGGCGGGGAGACCCCAACGGGCGGATCTGGGAAGCGGGCCCAAGCGGCCAGGTCGGGGAGGCGTGTTGTTCCAGCGTGAGTATTGCATGAATCGCGCGGAGGGCTCGAGCGATAGCGCGATTCCCAAGTAAATCGCGATAAAAACCAAAGCGAGAGCGTGATTCCTGAGTGTGGAGGGCGCGGCGTCTGAATACATTGAAAGGGAATCCCACGCGAGAGTGCGATTCCTGCATAACTTGTGAGAAAGTCCTGCGCGAGAGCACGATTTCGGAATCCATTGTTAGGAAGCATCGGGCGGGAGCCGTCGTTGTTACAGTTCGGGGCCCAACAACGCAGTTTGGTGACGCCAGGCTTCCCCTGATAGGCAGCAGGGTGTGTGCCCCGAGGGGGGCATTTCGATTAAACGAATATGCTGTTGCTGGGGGGAGGGATCAACAACAGTTATATACATATATATATATAGACATGGATATTACAAAACAACTGAGAACCCACCAACAGGGCAACAACGAGCAGAATCCGCTCCGCGGAACCCTACTTCAGCCACGCGCCCAGGGGCAGTGAAGGACCGCTCGGGCCTCTCACTCTGATATGTTGTCGGTTTCTGGGGGACCCGCCCCCCCCCCCTCCCCTGGGCCGCGCACATGCCCCTGGCCATGACGTGCGCCTCCCCTCCTGAGGAGGAGGAGGAGGAGGAGGAGGAGGAGAATGAGGAGGAAGAGGAGGAGGAGGAGGAGGAGGAGGAGGAGGAGGAGAACGAGGAGGAGGGCGGAGGAGGAGGAGGAGGAGGAGGAGGAAGAACGACCCGGACGAAACATTGGCCACAGGGAGTGGGTCTGGGGAGGCATCGACCCCCAGTGGCCCGGCCCAGCCCTCGCCGATCGGGGCCTGGGCAGAGTCGCCGATCCATCGGCGAGGGATCGCCGAGTCGACGCCAATTCCTCCTCCTCCTCCTCCTCCTCCTCCTCCTCCTCCCCCGACGCCACTGTGTCTCTTCCCCTGACCGGCCTCTTGGGACGCTCTCGGGCCCAGGGCCGTCGGCAAGCGGCCTCGTAGAACCTAAGCTGGCCCCTGGGGACAGGATCGAGCATTCCGAGGACCCCGCACTGAGAAAACGAAACATCGGATGTATGAGTGCGGGGGGCCTCCGACGACTTGCGCCGACGACGCCCTCCTCGAGGGCCGATGGTCGAGGATAGAGTTCGTCTTGGGGTGGGTTTGCTCTTTTCTAGGACTCCTAGTCGCCATGGCTGGGTTCGACCAACGACGACGACGGCGGTGGCGGAGGAGGGGAGGAGGAGGAGGAGGAGGAGGAGGAGGAGGAGGAGGAGGAGGAGGAGGGAGGGAGGGAGGGAGGAGGAGGAGGAGGAGGAGGAGAGGGAGGAGGGGGAGGAGAGGAGGAGGAGGGAGGAGGAGAGGAGGAGGAGGAGAGGAGGAGAGGAGGGAGGAGGAGGAGGAGAAGGAGGAGAGAGGGAGGAGGAGGAGGGGGAGGAGGAGGAAGAGAGGGAAGGAGGAGGGAAGAGGAGGGGAGGAGGGAGGAAAGGAGGAGGCGGAGGAGGAGGAGGAGGAGGAGGAGGAGGAGGAGGAGGAGGAGGAGGAGGAGGAGGGGGAGCCGTCACAGGCCCCGCGAACCGCCAACAATAGCGACTCTTGCCGGGCGACGAGATCTGTACTCGTGCAATGCCCCCCGTGCCAGGCCCTCACTGGGCCTGGGGGCTGTGCACACGCCCTCCCGGCCAAACCAGGAGGGCGGGGCGGATGCACTGCTGCCCGGCTCAGGATGGGCCTGGCCGTGGAGCAGTGGACGTGCACGGACTTCCTCGCCCCATCTCGGTGAGACGCCAGTCCTGGGACGGGATCGGGGCCCCTCTGCCGCCGCTTGCAAAGGTTACTGCCTCGTCGCTGGTGTCTCGAAGAAAGGCACGGCGCCGGATGTCGTCGCCGTCGCCCTGGGAAGGGATCCAGGACTCTCGGTCGCCGCTGGCGAAGGTCATTGCCTCGTCGCCGTCGGCCTCGCATGAGCCGGCGGGCTGGGCCGACGATTCCGAGCGGCCCATGCGGCCGCAGCGGGCGATCACGCCGTCGGTGCTCCAGGCTTGCCAGACGGCCAGGGGAGGAAAAGGTACCCATGGCTCATTCCCTACATAGGCTCTGCCTAGAAGGGTTCTTACTCTCTTAGCTTAAAGGGCCGGGCAGTGCTAACCGCCCTGGGCGGTTCCCCCAGTCCCCGCCCCGCGGTTCCCCCAGTCCCCTGAGAGCTTTAGCTTTAGCTTTAGCTTTAGCTTTAGCTTAGCTGTAGCTTAGCTTCAGCTTAGCTTTAGCTTAGCTTCAGCTTAGCTTCAGCTTAGCTCAGCTTAGCTTTAGCTCAGCTTTAGCTTAGCTTTAGCTTGGCTTTAGCTTAGCGGCACCTTAGCGTTATCTTAGCTTTAGCTTAACTTTAGCTTTAGCTTTAGCTTAGCTTCAGCTTAGCTTCATCTTAGCTTTAGCTTAGCTTCAGCTTAGCTTCAGCTTAGCTTTAGCTTAGCTTTAGCTTAGCTGTACCTTAGCTGTACCTTAGCTTTAGCTTAGCTTTAGCTTAGCTTTAGCTTAGTTTTAGCTTAGTTGTAGCTTAGCCTTCACCGTAGCTTTAGCTTAGCTTTAGCTTAGCCTGCACCGTAGCTTTAGCTTAGCTTTAGCTTAGCTTTAGCTTATCTGCACCTTAGCTTTAGCTCAGGTTTAGCTTAGCGGTAGCTTAGCCTTAGCTTAGCCTTAGCTTAGTTGTAGCTTAGCTTTAGCTTAGCTTTAGCTTAGCTTCATCTTAGCTTTAGCTTACCTTGTGCTTAGCTTAGCTTAGCTCTAGCTTAGCTTTAGCGTAGCTTTAGCTTAGCTTTAGTTTAGTTTAAATTTAGCTTTAGCTTTACTGTTTGTACTAATGCTGCTTTCCTAGGGGCTCCAACTCCTATGTAGGGTCGCACTGGGATAATTTCTAAGTGTTCGAAAGTTATTTGATTTTCTTGGGGGGGCAAGATCCGTTCGTCTCGATGTGTTCTATCTTGGGCCTCTTCCTGGCAACCAGGGGGCCAGGAACAATCAGAAACGAGCACACCTAGAAATGAAGACGATTAGGCATGAACGACGTGTACCCATACCGGTACTGGCCGAGCCCGAGCTCGACTTGCCGAGCTCGGGCTCGACGCCATCCAGGGCGGGGTCGGGGTGGCGGGGCGGAACTCCCTGGACGCCCTGGCCGGTGGCCTTCGGGCACGCGGCGTGCTGGCTCGCTGCTGCCGCCACGGCGGCTCGGGCAGCTTGTCGCCAGAGGGATCCCTGACACTGGGCGTCGCGACGGCCTCAGTCCGGAGCAGGGAGAGGTAATTGCCGACACCGCTGCTCTTTGCCTCGTTCTACCCTTTGTGGGCCTCCTGGGAGGCCCTCGTCGCCACAGCTGGCTTCACCTCGGAGTTTTGGTCAGGAAGCACCCAGGGAGAGGACCAGGGAGTAGCGGTATCGGTACCGTTTCCCCAGATGGGGTCCGCGCAGACGGGGTGGGAGGATCGCGCCGCATCACCGATGCATTGGCAATGCGGCTTGATGCGGAGCCCGATATTCTCAACGTCGACGTCGCCAGTGCATCACCAACGTCGCCAATGCATCCCCGATGCGTCGGCGATGCGTCGGCGATGCATCGGCGTTGTCGGCGCGATCCTCCAACCCGATCTGCTCGGGCCCAATGAGGGAGGCATCTGGTCCAGGCACGCCTCGCCGCAGCCGAAGAGGTGAGCCAGGCCGTGGTCCACGCGGGCCCCGCCGGCTTAGGAGCACCAGGAGGGCCAGGCATGCTCCAAGAGAGTGGGGCGGATCCCGCCGCGCTGCCCCACCCGCTGCCGCCTTGGGCTCCAGACGGTGCCTCTCCCCTTTGGTGCCTCCTCCGCACAGCCCGAGAGACGGGCGGCCATGGGGGACACCATGGCGCTGGCGTGGCGGGCGGTCTGCAAGTGGAGCTACTACGTGTCGCTGCTGGGGCTGAAGATCCCGGCGGGCCTGCTCCTCAGGGCCTCGCGCGCGCGCCACGTGCTCGCGTTCCTCGTGGCGGCCTGGGTGCCGTTCCTGGCGTACTGCCACACGGTCCTGCTGCCGATGGTGCAGGCCACCAGCTACGCCACCGTGATCTGGCACGTCGTGTTCGCGATCTGGGTGACGCTGCCGCTGCAGACCGTTGGCACCGTGATCCTCCTGCGAGCCTTCTCCCCCAAGGTTCGGGCGGCGTCAGTCATCGCACCAGTCTCCCGGGCAGTTGGCCCGAGGATGAAGAGGTACCGATGTCGCTACCCTCCCCTCGTCGTCACGGCTGGATTGCCTCGAAGTTCTGGTCAGGAACGTACCGCAGGAGAGGTCCGCGGAGTGGCGGGTAACGATATCAGTACAGTCTTGCCCCCCCCTAAGAAAGTTTGGATTGCTCCAGGTGCCGCTGGCCCAAGGTGCTCCCAGCTTTCCGCTCCATTCAAGAGCCCTTGGGCCCACCCAGGCCTCGTGAAGGGTGCTCTGGAGGTCGTGGGGCCTCCATGGAAATCCTGGAGGGCACCTTGGACCAGGGGCACTTCTAGCAACACCCTGACGTCCCGCGAGAGGTCTTCGCGACATTCCTCTGTGCGGCGATCGGGGTGGTCTGCTTCCACTGGCTGGCGATCCCCGCGATCGCGAACACCCCCCTCGGGGGCGTCCTGCTGCACGCGCTGTTTGCCTGCTTCGAGGACGTCCCCATCGCCGCGTGGGTCTACTGCCTGGTGTACGTCGTGAGGCTGCAGGACCACGTCGCCTCGAAGCAGAGCGGCCGCGCGAGCCCGTTCAAGGATCGGGAAAACGTAAGACTCGAGAACGCTGGAACTCGGATTTGCCGACGCTGTTTGACGAGCCCGCCCTGGATTTTGATGGTGCAGTGTTCGTGGGATGTTTGCAGCGGGAGTTCGCGTCAAGTTTCAGATCGGGTCTCGTCGTTTTCCTGGCGGCCCCGTCAAACCAACCCTAGTCCACCGAGCCCGAGTCTTACGTCTCCCCTGGAGGAGCCACTGGGCAGCGATGACTGCCTGCTGATCGTCGGGAACGCTCCCACCGTGACGGACGGCGCGCCGATGGGATCCGTGATGGACAGGCCCCCCCCCCTCGAGGATCAAGGTTTTGGTGGCGTTCGTCGCCGATGTCGGCCTCGACCGGGCCTCGGGGAGGCCTCCGAGAGGCCTCTCGGGATCTCTCGGAGGCCTCCGGCTGATTTTTTGGAGAAATCCGAAGAGCTTCGGAGTCCGCATCTCCCCCTACATCCCCCTCCCTGCCCCCCCGCCCCTTCCGCCTCCACATCCCGCTCTCGTCCCCCCCCCCTCCTGTCCATCATGCTCATCCTCGCCACCCCCCTTTCCACTACTCCTCCCACTTGTGCACCCCTTCCCCTTCTCCCCCTGCCTGTCCTCCTACTTCGTTCCCTCCTACCAGTTGGCCAAGCCCAGGGATCCATGTCCGCGTAGTGCTGGTGGAGATGCAGTTTTTCGGTTAAACATATAGCCCGCGTTATGTGGCCTCCCATTCATTTACCCACCCAGTAGACAACATAAGGCCCGCCGCCCCACCCAACCCCTTGCAGAAGCGCCTGCTGCTTAGCGCATAGGCGCGGACAGCGTATTTGCAGCGTGCGCAGACATGCGCCTCTGGTATGTCGAGGCGCGTGGCGCGCGCAGGCTTTTGTGCCACCCACACAGGCGCGGCGGCGCACCCGGCAGTGAAAGAAGCAGGCAGCCTGGTGCGCACAGCGCACGCGCCCGCTGCAGCGGCAGCTGCGGTGCGCACAGGCTGTGTGGTTTTCAGCACTGTGGTGTACACAGACACCGATGTGCGCGCATGCAACGGGGGGCGGATGTGCCGGGGGCCAGGAAACAATAACCACAAACAGTTCACATACTGAACTTGATACGTCCGGGCCGACCACGGCTTGCTGGAGTGTGACACCGTCGGGGCCCTGCAGGTGTGCACGGGCGTTTTGGTGTGCGCAGACACTGTGTCGTACATGCTGGCTGCTTGCAGAGGCGCAGGGGCGCATGCGCACGGACACTAGTAGCGGAGGAGGAGGAGGAGGAGGAGGAGGAGGAAGAAGTGGTGGAGGAGGAGGAGGAGGAGGAGGAGGAGGAGGAGGAGGAGAGGAGGAGGGAGGAGGAGGAGGAGGAGGAGGGAGGAGGAGGAGGAGGAGAGAGGAGAGGAGGGGGGAGGAGGAGGGAGGAGGAGGGAGGAGGGAGGAGGAGGAGGAGAAGGAGGAGGAGGAGGAGGCGGAGGAGGGGGGACTCTCTCGAGCAGCATATCATCGAAGCTGGACGGTCCAAAAGGCACTCTGACACGCCGCTGCCGTGCAGCAGCGGCGGCGGAGGAGTGCCCCAGGGGAGAGCCAGGACTTATCCGCCGGCGTGCCGTGTGGACTGGCGCCATGCTGCCGCGGCCCGGCCGCGGAGCACGCCCGGCACAAGAGCGGGCGAGAGTCGCGAATCACGTGGCGCAGGCGTGAAGTCGGGCCTGTCTCTCTACAGGAGTAGTGATCAACGACAGTAAAAAATAGTCTGGGGACGATTTGTGACCATTTTCCGACTATTCTGAACTGTTCGTCCAAAAGTCCCTTGTAGGAGGACAGGCCCGACTTAACACAAGAACGGACGAGGTTCGCGAAACATGTGGCGCGAGCGATCGTGTCCCGTGTGGCTCAAGCCACTGTGTCCCGGCCGCATGGCAGATGAAGTGCTGTAACGCGTAACGCGTTGCCGTGGGTCGCACAGCTTTGCTCTGCGCTCTTCGGCCCCAGAGGGGCGGAAGGGCGTGCCCTGGTGCACAGACATTCGACGCAGCGAACACGGCGTGGCAGGCCGGCTCCCGTGCGGGCACCGTACACCGGGCCATGCAAGTTGAAAGCTACACATTCTTTTCATGCTTCAGAGCGTGAATTACCTACCCCGCTTTCGCTTCCAGGCAAAACCAAGTCATACCACGCGCCTCCTCGTCAAGTGGCCTGATCAGTACAGGCCGCAGTTTGGCATCGCTTGGTATCTCTTGGAAGCGAGGGTGGTCAAAAGCGAGGTAGGTTTGTTTGCCCCCTAATGTTGGATGTGATAGGCTCGGGCCCACCGCGATCTTCATGGCTTTGACCCCGTCGAGACCCTGGGGGGTACACAGATGTAACCCCCTCTGAGGCGCTGCCGCGGCTGCTGCCGCCGCCGTGGTCGCCCTCGTCGTTTGTCGTCGTCGTCGTCGTCGTCGTCGTCGTCGTCGTCGTCGTCGTCGTCGTCGTCCTAGTGTCGTCGTCGTCGTCGTCGTCCAACCGCTCGCGAAGCCTCACATCCAGGCCCAGGGGAAGGGGTAAGAGTAAGGGTCTAGACTCTCCCCACCCGCAAGCCGTCTCGCTCACGCCCACCCGCCCTCTCAACACAAGTAGCACTCGGGCCGCAGAATGTTCAGCGGTCGTTTCAAGATACCCCAAGCCGCAAGCCGTGTCGCTCACTCCTTCCCGCCCTCCCACCATATAAGTAGCAACCTGTTCTCAGCACAGACAGGGACCGCCATCGACAACCATCGGGAACCAATGCATGCGCCAGTCAGGCACGCGATGCCCCCGAAGTGCGCCGCACGTGCCAGGTGCGCCACGCGTACCAGGTGGGCCACATTGGGCAGTATGTCGACAGCCCCACCACCGCTGTCAAAAACCCATGTAACGTATCGGCGGGCTTGCGAGCATTGTGTATCGTGTGTGGGTGTGCAACCGCAATTACTTTGAACATGCTTTCAGTCACGAGTCGGCTGGCATACAGCACGCAGTATGCCGTATGCCGCCCTCCCTCGCCGCCTCTGTCAAACAGAAATCAATGCAAAGTGATCGCAGGGCGTCCGCGCATGATTCAGACTTTGGTGCAAAGTGGTTCATGCATTGTTTTCGTGAAGGGGATTGTTGAGGAGGGGTGCTGGCACGCTGCGCAGCAGGCAGTATGCCAGCACCCCCGCCGTCTCTGCCAACAACCCATGCAAAGTGATCGCGGGGTGCCCCCGCATGATCCAGGTATTGGTGCAACATGCATTTCGCGGTGTTGTGCTGTTGCGCGGGATTGTTTGGTGAGGGCGGCATTCTAATCCGGGACCCCCCCCCCACAACTCCGTTCCCTCTCGCCCCCACCTCTGCGGGGAAGGAATCAAAGGGAAGGGGCTGCTCTTCGACTCAACCACGACGTTCTTTAATGCCTTTGCTCCTCAGTTTCATTGGGACTGGCGACAACGGCGGCGACGACGATGACGACGGCGACGACGACGACCGCGTCTCTCACACGTCCGGAAGTCGGCCGATTTGCAAGGAACCGTGATACACCACTCCCCGAAGGGGAAAAATGGGATGGAAAAGGAAACTCTTTGAACCACTCACGCCCAGCGGGATGGTGGAATTCCCCTGCGGCCTCGGAGACTTCCTGAAGTCCTTCCTTTCGAATGCGATCTACGATCGAGGAAGAATGTACCCCAAGAGTTCTTATGTCAGGATTTCGGATCGTGTGTGCGTACTCTACTTTTATTCAGCGCCGCCCTCCTCCACATACCCTGTGCCTCCTCCACCTCATCCACCTCCTCCTCCTTCTCCTCTTCCTTTCCTCATACACCCCTCCTTTCCTCTTCCCCTCCTCCCCTCTCACCTCCCCCTCCCCCTCGGCCTCCTCATCCTTCAACTCTTCTTCCCCCCTACCCCCCACCCTCTCGCCCTCCCCCCACTCCCCGTACCCCTCCTCCTCCTCCGCCTCCCTCTCCTCCTCCTCCTCCTCCTTCTCCTCCTCCTCCTCCTCCTCCTCCTCCTCCCCCTCCTCCCCCTCCTCCCCATGATCACCATCAGCATCAACAGCATCATCATCAGCAGCATCATCATTATCAGCATCAGCATCGTCATCATCATCGTCATCGCCATCGCCATCGCCATCATCATCATCATCATCATCATCATCATCATCATCATCATCATCATCATCATCATCATCATCATCATCATCAACATCATCATCGTCATCATCACCACCATCATCACCATCATCATCATCATCATCATCACCACCGTCTTCATCATCATCGTCGTCATCATCAGCATCATCATCACCATCATCATCAGCAGCATCAGCATCTACATCATTATCATCAGCAGCATCATCATCAACAGCATCATCAGCATCATCAGCATCACCATCATCACCATCACCATCATCAGCATCATCATCATTATCATCATCATTGTTATCATCATCATCACCATCATCATAATCATCATCATCATCATCATCATCATCATCATCATCATCATCATCATCATCATCATCATCATCATCATCATCATCCCGCCCCTCCGCCGCGCGCTCTCCTCCCACCCCTTTCGGCCCACTGCCGTTCCGCCCCCCCCTCCCCGTCAGCTTCACCAACGTCGTGCGCTTCAACCAGTACTCCGTGAGCCGGCCGGCCCACACCGGGTCCAAGGCGACCCCTGGCGACCTCGGCGGCTTTCTCACCAGTTCCGCACCCTCCGTCGTCGCCACCGTCGCAATCGCCGCGCCACTTGTCCTCACACCCTCCCTTCTCCTCCTCGCTGAGGAGGCTGGGGGAAGTGAGGAGAGAGAGGGGGGGAAGGAGGGAGCAGAAGAGAGGAGGGAGCAGGAGCGAGAAGCGAGGACGGAGGAGGCAGGAGGGAGGACGGAGGAGGGAGGAGGGATGGGGGAGGAGGGATGGGGGAGGAGGGATGGGGGAGGAGGAGGAGGAGGAGGAGGAGGAGGAGGAGGAGGAGAGGAGGAGGGGAGAGGGAGGGAGAGAGGAGGAGGAGGAGGAGGAGGAGGAGGAGAAGGAGGAGAAAGGAGGAGGGAGGAGAGTGGTGTAGAGGAGAGAGCAGGAGGGAAGAGGAGGAGAGAGGAGGAGGAGGAGGAGGAGAGGAGGAGGAGGAGAGGAGGAGGAGGAGGAGAGGAGGAGAGGAGAGGAGGAGGAGGGGAAGGGGGGAGAAGGAGGAGGAGGAGGAGGAGGAGAAGGCGGGGGAGGAGGAGGAGAGGAGGAGGAGGAGGAGGAGAGGAGGAGGAGGAGGAGGAGGGAGGAGGAGACGAGCAGGAGGAGGAGGAGGAGGAGGCGGATGAGGAGGGAGGAGGAGGATGAGACGGAGGAGGAGCAGGAAGAGGAGGAGGAGGACGGGGAGGGAGGAGGGAGCAGAAGGGTGAGAGGGGTGTAGAGGAGGGAGGAGGAGGGAGGAGGAGGAGGAGGCGGATGAGGAGGAGGAGGAGGTGGAGGAAGATGAGGAGGAGGGGGAAGGAGAGGAGGAGGAGGAGGCGGAGGAGGATGAGGAAGATGAGGAGGAGGAGGCGCATGAGGAGGGAGGAGGAGGATGAGACGAAGCAGGAGGAGGAGGAGGAGGAGGAGGAGGAGGAGTTGGAGGAGGATCTTCGTGATCTTCGACCCGGGACAGCACGAGGAGGAGTGGGGGAGAGGGGGGAGGCGACGCAGAGCCGCCCCTGCACTGCAGAGCATATGGGCAAGGGCCGGGCCGCCACAGCAGACCTCCGAGCCCTGGCCCCCCGCGGGTCGGGGCGGATGCGCCCGCCGTGGCGCCTGCGGGCAGAGCGTGCAGCTGGCGCGGCCCCTGCCCCGGAGGTGGACTTCCACTTCTGCAACGGCCGCAACTTCCCGTCCTCGAGGACCTCGGGGAGCACGCGACCCGCCATGGGGGCAGCGGGTCCTGAGGGAAGCGGGTCCTGAGGTCCTTTGCCGTTTTCGGGCCTCCGGGGCCCTCCACGGGCCCCGGGAGTGTCAGGAGACGGCTCAGGATTGAACATCTCGACCCCCAAGACGCGATCTTCATCCCGAGGCGATTTCTGACGGGCCCGGGGCCCCGAGAGCCGGAGAGGGGCGAAAGACCTCAGGACCCGTTCCCCTCAGGACCCGCATCCCCCTCACGGCGAACTTAGCTCCGAGCCCCCCCCCCCCGAGGCGGGCCTCGAGCGTCTCCGTCTCCCGACGCCAGGCCCGTCAGCTCGGGGAGGTCGCCCCCCTGCTCGCTCCATGCCCAGACCGCCTCCACGGCGCTCCGCGCGGCAGGCGGCGGAGGGCGCGGGGCGGGCAGCTGAGCATCGTCTCGCCGATCCTCACCCCCATCGGCATGGCACCTGACACGGGGATGTATCGGCCCCACGATCAGGCTGTCGAGGGATCTTCGAAGGGACCAGAAATTTGGGGCCCAACCACTAGGATATACGAGGGGGGGGGTCCACGCTCGATGGGGGTGCGTCCGAGTAGCCCTCCTGGGGTGTGTCCCAGGATCTCCCCCTCTTCCTGAGCGGCCAAACTGTGTCGGGCGGAACGCGGGGATTTGGGGGAGAGCAGCAACTTGCGAGCACTGGTTCCACAGATGGCGGCGCGCAGAGGGAGGTAGGGTTAAGTCGGGCCTTTCCCTCTACAGGAGGGAAATTTAAGAATAGTACAAACATTCACTGGTCCGAAACATCCCTTACCCGGGGTCGGCCTGGGTGAAAAGGGCCGTCCGTTGGATTGGGCGCTTGCCACTGCGCCCGATCAGCCTGCCGCGCGCGCGCTGTTTCAGCATCCGCGCGTCAGGACGCAACGACACCCTGAATGGCTGGTTGTTTGATTGCGGTTGCAGCGACATGCCCTGGCGTGCGTCAGGGACGTCTGGGGGCATTGGGGGTGCCCGCGGGGTTTAAAACAGCATTGGAGTGGCGGTGCCTTTCCCATTTTGGGACAGGCACCACCACTCCGTTGCGTTTGGGCCTGCCCGCGCGAGCGTCGTTGCAATCTGACGCTCCCCTGGGGGCCGCTGCGGCCGCGTTCGGGAACGCTCTCGGGGGCCTCGCGTGCGCCCGAGCGCGATTTCGACCAACCGCCACCTCGACTAGGTACGGGTACGTGTCCGGGGGCACCATCAACGCGCGTCGTCGACTGCGCCCCCCGACACGTACCCGGACCTAGCTGGAGTGACGCCAGGCTGGTTTTCCAGGGAGCAGCCCCTGGCGAATGCGCCTGGCGTTCGGGGCCCCAGGCGTTTGGGGCGAGCGCGGGATTGCAGCGGCGCCCGCCAAGGACACACAGCACGCATTTTGCGCGTCGAGCCCCAAACGCTTGATGGTGCGCCTTCGTCGGCGCACCTCCGAACGAGCTACTCTGGTCCGAGAGCGACCAATGCACGTTCGGCCACTCTGCCGCGTGGACCGCTCGCACATTCGGTGCCAACGGATGCCCCGAGAAGACAGCGTCCTGTAATGTTCCATGGGCCGACGCATCTGCACTTGTGCAGCCGCCGTCAGCTGCGGCGTGTCGCTTCCCCCCGCCCCTCGCCATCCCGCCTGGGTAAGAGTACGGGTATCTTTCGCGCTCGAGAAAAATAGTCTGGGGATGATTTGTTGAGCATTCGTTTGGCTATGTTGGGGGCGTGTTTTGGGTATTTGTAAGCTTTCGCCCAAAACCTGCCTGTAGGGGGACACGCCCGACCTCAAGGCAGAGGGGGAAGGGGGGAAGGCTGCTTGTCAGAGGGCGCCTCGCGCGACGGCAGTGCCTTCTTGGCCCCCTTGAGGCCGGGCCGCGCTGCCGGAGCCACGCGGCGCCAGCCTTACCGCCCCTTGCGTCTCCCTGCCCAGAGAGTGCGTCATGTTGCGTACGTCTTGACGTTTTCGGCCCACACAGTGCATGTCTAATTCTTCGGAAGGTATGTGATTTCGTGGGGGGGCAAGATTTTCTTTCATTTCTAATTGTTCTATCCTGGGCCTCTTCCTGGCCACCAGGGGGCCAGGAACAATTAGAAACGAACACATTTAGAAATGGGAGCGATTAGAAATGAACGACGTGTACGTCTCGATGCATTCGGCGCGCGGCCCGCGGAAGTCAGGACACTCTCGCCCCAGAGCTGCTTGTTCAGCCCAGCTCGTTTTCGTTGGCTGTCTAACAGGGCTCGGCAATGGCCCGCGGAAGCCGAAACTGGCAGAACACATCCGCCTTGACTGGGAGCCGTTGCTTATCCCCTGGCGAGAACGGGCGTGACCAGTGACCAGTGGGGGAAGGGGGGGGCCGGTCACGTCACGCTTTGCGACGGCGCCGTCGGGAACGTTTGAGAATGGACCATTCCTGGACGGCCCCAGCCCGAATCGTGACGTGACAGGAGTGGGAAGGGGTGGTGGGGGCGCGGCCGGTCACGGGCGTCATCGCGACGGATAAAACATGGGTGATTGTTGACAAGACGTTGGACGTTTGAGGGGGGGCAGGGGGCAGAACAAAACAGCGAGGACCGTGACGGCGGTTTTGCCGCTCTTCAACGCGTCGCTGACGCACGCCATCTACCTCTACATGCCGCACCTCGAGGACGCCGCGGACATCTACGCCAACCTGACGAACACCAAGGTCAGCTGTCTTCGTCGACGATTGTCGGTGATGTTCGCGGGTCTTAGAATATGTCCGACGGTTTTCGGCGATTTGCGAAGACTCTGAGAAATGACCTGGCGTCCACTGAGGTTATCGGAGGCTCTCGGAGGTCGTCATCGTTGTTGTCGATCGGACTTCGGGGTTCGAGGATTGAGTCTGTTCAGCGTGTTGGTGCCATCTGTGGCATCATGTGGCGCGCTCGTCGCCGCGGCCGTACCTGAAGGACGCCGCAGACGTTCTGTGCCACCGCGGGCCCTACTGGGGCGAGGGGGTGCGACGCGCGGCGCTGCGGATTGAAAGCGGTGACCCAACAGCAGAGGAACGTGGGGAAACGAGCCAGGCGAAGGGCACAAACCTGCAGTAGGCACATCCAACAAACAAAGGTCAGCCTGCTGGCCGGTTCCCCGCGAAAGAAGTTCCTCGTTTTCCGATGGCCCCGGGGGCCCACAGAAGCCCTGGGGCACCTCGGGACCCTCAAGGATCGACGACGGGGGGTGCTGCAGGATCTCCGATGGCAGAAGTTCTTGCTCCGTGTGCCTGTTGCACACGGCTGCGTGTGGCGCAGAGCGTGGCCCTCTCCTCACGCGCTCCGCGCCGCGGGGCAGCGCGTGCGGGGGGCCGCGGGGCAGGCGCCCGGGGCGCGCCCGAAACTTCTCGCAGGGCAGCTTGCGCGCGAAGGCTGCGCCGAGGTGGGCTGCTGCCCGCGTGCGAGAGCGCCCGCCGTGGCGATGGAGGGAGCTCCCCGAGGGGCATACGCACTCCTCCTCACTCATACGCATCCGCATGACGCCTTCACTTAGTTCCACTCATGCACGTACTCACTCGCGCTCACAGACTTTGAGGGTGTCTCGAGCGAGGCGCTGGCTTCACCGCTTCAAGGGGGCGCCGCCAGGGGGTATTGTACGAGCCCCCATCGCGCCCAGGCCTCGCGTGCGGAGGTGCCCTCTGAAGCCGTCTGTGGGGCTCTGGGCCCCCCCTCCCATGGAGCGCGATTCCGCGAGGGCGGGCCGCCGAGCCGGGCCGAGGCCCGCGCGCGCGAGCTTCCTGGGTGGGGCTGCGGGTGGAGTTCCCCGTGCGGCAGGATGCCCCCGAGCGGTGTGCTGAGGTGTGCGGCGGAGGAGGAGGAGGAGGAGGAGGAGGAGGAGGAGGGCGGAGGAGGAGGGCGGAGGAGGAGGGCGGAGGAGGAGGGCGGAGGAGGAGGAGGAGGAGGCTCGCATGCGGTCGTGCCAATGGAAGCCGCATGTGCGGCTCACGAATGGGCGTGGTGAAACATGTGCGAGGTCGTGGCAACAGTGGGGAAATGGTAGCGCATGTGATCGCTCCCAGTGGGACCGTAGGTGGGGTCCCCATTCAAGACATGCAACGTGTGAAGGTTGTACCGAAGTTGAGGGGGAGGTTATAGCGCATGCGATCCCGCCCAGTGAGGCTGTAGGTGCAGCTCCCTGGTGAGCATTGATCGTGTGAGGAGTGTAGCGAATTGGGTTGTGGTAGGCGCTTGCGGTCGCGATCCCTACAGGGCACGTAACTTGAGAAGAATGCGCCGAAATCCGAGGTGACAACGCATGCGACCACGCACGCTAAGGATGTGGCTGAGCCCCCTGCTGCTGCTGCTGTGGCCGCAGGCTCTGACAGCTGTCTAGCGAATATGTAACATGAGGCCGTGACCCTCGGGGAAGCAGTTCCGCCTTCCCCGGCAGTGCGCTGGGCCAGAGCATTGATCAGCACATCGAAGTTCCACGTCGCGTGGCGACACTCGGCGGGAAGAGCTTGCGTGAGAGCGGGAGGGAGGACGGCGAAGGAGGGAGGGCGAGGGGCGGAGACGGCGGCGAGACGAACGACACCTCGCTGTGGAGAAAACGGCGCGGCGCACGCTCGTGCGCCGCTGCAGCTCGTCCGCCGCTGCCGCGGGCAGCTGGTGGCCTGCCCCCACGAGCCGGATGGCGTCTGGCATGCCACTGCGGACCCATGCTGTCCTTGGACGGCCCACATCCCAGTTCTGCTTTCGTGAAGCACGCTGCCGGTAATGCGTACAACAGCTTCGACTCTACCAATGACTTGAATACGGCGAGCCGCCCCCGGAGGGATAGTGAGGACTGCCTTCAAACGTGACGAAGAGTCCAAAAATCAGTCGATGCCGTCCTCATGCGCCTCCCTGGTTCGTGGCCCATGCGGCCGTCCGCTGTCAGTGGCGAGCCTAATCACACGATAGTTACTGCGCTCACTCGTGATGTTTTCCCCTTGACAGCATATGCGCTTGGATGTGTTCGAATGTAGCAACTGGAACTTCTTCGCGTGTAATTTTAAGCCATATGCGCAGCCATCTCATGCGATGCAGTGGACGAACTCCTCCAAGTAAGCGGAGGAAGCCCCTAGCAAAAGCGTGCCGTCAGCAAACGCAAGATCGGCTAGACTGCCTTTGCGGTAAGCCTCCAAAGTTGGCTCCGACATTAATCCTACTGCGTCTTCCGTCAACGCCGACATGAGCACAATAAATAGAAGTGGGCTGAGCTTGCATCTCTGCGACGCACCCGACCGCTGTGGCCTCTCGTCTGATTGCGTGCCGAAGTCGTCAACAAAGAAGTGCCGATTTGACATCATGTGGTGGATGATCCGGAGGTACTTCGGCGTGATGCCGTATCGACTCAAAGCGTGCATCAAGCACTCGATGTGGACGCTGTCGAACGCCTTTTTCCAATCCAACGCCAGCAATGATACTGCCCCGCGCTGCTGGGCACATGCCAACTCTATGTGCCTCCGCGCTGTGAAAATAGCGTCCTCGGTGCAGCGCCTGGGGCGGAAACCGCATTGAGATTGCCGGAGTCGATCGTCGATGCCCGCATCGAGGAGCCGTTGCTTCAGCATGCTGGCGAAGATTATGTACGCCACTGTCGGCAAACAAATCGGCCGATAGATATCCATACATGAAGGGCCGCTCTCATTGGATATCATTGAGACTCTGACAACCAGCCACTCGTCTGGAAATGTCTCGTTGTGTGAGCAATCGTTCATCACGGATAGCAGCTCTTTCAGGCAATCGCCGTCTGCGGACGCCATGGTCTTGTATACTTCGACTGGGATGCCGTTGTCCCGCGTGCTCTTGCCGCTCGTCCTTCGGCCGATGGCTTTTCTCAGTTCGGCCTGCGTGAAAGGCGCCTCCGTGATTTCCAGGCCTGGGCGTGCGACTGGAGTCTCGGGCAGTGCCGTAACGTGCCGCACCTTCCACTGGACCTGCTCGAGAAGGTCTGCGAAAGCGTCGGCTCGTTCCCCGGTGCTCACGGCCGCCCCGGATGCCGTGCGCAGCTTGGTCTGTTGAGTTCGCCTGCCTCGTCTCAGCTTCCGGAGGGAGCTCCAAGTGCCTTCTGCTGCGGTCTGCTGAGCGCCTTTCGGGGGCTGAGCCCCCTAAAGGACGCGAATCGCGTGGGAGGGTGCGCCGAAATAGTTGTGGGATAACGCGCGCCATCGTGCCCAGAGAGGCCGTAGGTGGGGCTTCTGAAGGGCGCGAAACGTGTGACGAGTGTGCCGAAATAGGGGCGCTAATGCGTGTGATCGCGTCCACTGAACCCGTAGGTGGGGCATGGAACGTGTGAGCGGTGTGCCGAGATAGGCTGTTGTAGCGCATGCGATCGTCCCCACTAGGCGGATTCACTTTGAGGGCACGAAGCGTGTGAGGGGTGTGTCGAATTCGACCGAGGCCATGGATGGAGCTGTCTACAGGGCAGGGCACGTGGTGGAGGAGGAGGAGGAGGAGGAGCAAGAGGAAGAGGAGGAGGAGGAGGAGGAGGAGGAGAGGAGGAGGAGAAGGAAGAGGAGGAGGAGCAGGAGGAAGAGGAGGAGGAGGAAGAGGAACAGGAGGAGCGAGGAGGAGGAGGAGAAGGATCGGGAAGAACGCTACAGCACACTGGCTTGAGTTAGCGCGGCGTCAAAAGGAAGGGCTGGGAGAGGGCTGGGGCGAGGGAGGGAGGGAGAGAGGAGGAGGAGGAGGAAGAGAGGAGGAGGAGGAGGAGGAGGAGGAGGAGGAGGAGAGGAGGAGGAGGAGGAGGAGGAGGAGGAGGAGGAGGAGGAGGAGGAGGAGGAGAGGAGAGGAGGTGGGATGCGGCGCCGCGGAGAGAACGCAGACCCAACAGCACAGGAGGCTCGGGGGGGAAGCAGGACAACGGCAGCGGGGTGGCCAGCCGACGCTTCAGGTGGACGCCTGGTTCGTCGAGGAGGAGCGGATCCTCGAGCTGCGGAGGAAGATCGGGTGCCGCGTGTGGCAGATCCCGACGTCCGGCATGGTGGCCATAGACAGTTTCCTGTCCAAGCGAAAGGAAGTGTTCCTCCACGGCTTCAACTTCTTCGAGGGCAAGAAGATCCACTACTTCGAGGAGTCGCCCGTCCAGCTCATCGCCTCCTGGCTGGAGCCTGGGGAGGGCAGGAGCACATCCAAGCGCACCTGTGCAGCCTCCTGCTCCCACTAGGGGGGGGGGAGGAGGAGGAGGAGGAGGAGGAGGAGGAGGAGGAGGAGGAGGAGGAGGAGGAGGAGGAGGAGGAGGAAGAGGAGGAGGAGGAGGAGAAGGAGGCGGAGGAGGAGGAGAAGGAGGAGGAGCAGGAGGACGGCTCGGGATAGAGAGGGCGACGGGGGCGAGGGTAAGAATGAGGGCGAAGAGGAAGTCGAACAGGAGGAGGGAGAGGACGAGAAGGAACAGGATGGCGCGAAGAGCTCAGACGAGGAGGACAGGAGGAGGGAGGGGGCTGCGACGAGGACGACGGGGCAGAAGCGAAGGAGGAGGAGGAGAAGGAGGAATCACGAAAGTCCGCAAATGCAGCCAACGGAGGGGACTGCGACGACGACGACGGGACAGAACTCGGCCCACGGAGGGGACTGGAGCGGAACGCGGCGAGAAGGAAAGGCGGATGGAGGGTTTGTAACGAGTACGACGGGGAAAGGGCGACGATAACGGTCAATTGCAGCTGCGGCCACGCCAACATAACGAGTCCCCAAACGGAAGTGATGTGCGCCCAGAGCACCTACAGCGGTCACTCGCGAGAACGCCGCAACTGTGGCCAAGCAGCTGCAGCGCCGCAACTGCGGTTGGGAGGCAACGCCGCAGTTGCACGTAGGAGAGGCGCCACGCGGTTGGTCGCCGCGTCCGCCGCGGTTGCAGCCCGCAACTGCGGCGCCAAGGCTGCGCGGACCACCGCGGTTGCATCCCAGCCCCTTTGGTCGCGTCGATCACCACCCACCAAACCAACCCAACCCAACCCGACGGCATCAAATTGCCCTCCATTTCCAGTTTTGGGGGGGGGGTCGGTGGTGGTCGGGGAACATTGGGAAAAACAAATGGAACCCGTACTCCCCAACCCTAAATTCGGGTCAAATTCGGGTCTTCGGGTTGGGTTGGGGTGGTCTGGTAGGTAGTAAGACGAGTGGCCCTGGATTCGCATGGGCGCGCAGGTTCTTGCAATACCTGAACGTGCCCTTGCCGTCGCTCTTGCCGACGCCTGCCCTCGGGGCCTGTGCGGGCAACCGATGCGGCTCCACGTCATACGTGTTGAACTCAGGCGTGTTTCGTGACGAGTGCACGCGAATGCCCGTGCCGCCGTCGCGGATGAGGACGAAATCCCATTTGGGCAAAGGGATTCTCTGCGCTTGTCCTCTGTCCACCCCTTTACTTTACAGTGCCTCATTTGGTCGAGACTCTCTGGGCGAGAGCTCGAAATGTCAGTTCGGGTCCCCCGTCTGGGCACCCTCTTGGAGCCGTGTTAGGGACCTCGATTTGGGCTGTATTGGAGTCCTCTTGGGCACGTTGGGGGCCCCCATTGAGGGCCTCTTGGGCCGTCCTGGGGCGATCTTGGGGGCCTCTTTCGGCGTCTTAGAGTGGCGGGAAGTGGAAAAACAGAGAAAACATTCAATTCCTTAAAGAAAAACCAGCGGGACATCCATTCATGTGGCCTCTGAGGCCCTCTCTGCCATCATGGGGGCCTCTATAATGGGGGCAGCTTTGGAGGCCCCGGAACCCTCAGGAGGAGATGCGTATCTGACCCCCCACCCCACCCCTCTGGGACCCCCCCCCCGGGGATCCCCCGGGACCCCCCCAGGAACCCTCCACGGGACCCCCCCGGGACCGCCCACCCCCGAGATCCCGCCGGCGGGGGAGGGATCAAAGCGAAAGGGGCTTCCTTTCGACTCGATTGCGGCATTGCTCGGTTCGTCTCTCGCTGGCAAGCTTGAGGAGGAGGAGGGCGCAGGGACAGGGGACGACGGAGACGACGACCGACGGGGACGACGCCTCGAGCAGACAGGCAAGCCCCTCCTCACACGCGCCGACGGGGTCGGCGGCTTCCCCCCCCCCCCGCGCGCAGAGCACGCCGCCGCCCTCCCAGGAGCGCTTCGTCACGCACGACCCCAGCAGGGAGAAGACGTGGGTGGCCGGGCTCGCGCAGGAGACGCGGCGGGTCTGGACGCCCGAAATGGGTACGGAAAGAATGGGTACAATGCCCAACAGCAGATCCTGTTAATTTTGAACAGGGTTCGCTGTCCACGCCGCCGCGGCCTGTGTCCATTCGAGACAGAATGCCGCCTGCCCAACAGCGGCCGCTGTTGGTTTGGGGCAACATTTGTTGTTGGGCATTGTACCTATTTTTCGTACCCATTTCGGGCGTCCAAAGCGGGAGCGCAGCGCGGCCCGGCACGCGAGGTCAACCCGAGTTGCGGGGGGTGGGGCGCCTTCGGGCGCGACCCCGCGGATCCCAGACCCCCTCGAGAAGCCAGCCCACTCCTCCTCCTCCTCCTCCTCCTCCTCCTCCTCCTCCGAATTCGGAGCATGACAGTTTCACGGTGCGGTAAGTATTTGGGCGTGTATGTTGGGCCTGGAGGATTGGAGAAATCTTGGTCGGGCCCTCGTCGAAAGTTTCTCCAGAGGACCTCGCATGTAAGGAGCCTCCGGCTGAGCATGGCGCAGAATATACAGGCATATAATGTGTTTGCTTTCCCTGTGCTCTCTCATGTCAGCCAAGTGTACCCCGTCCCCAAGAGTATCCACGACGCCGAGCACATCTGTTTGCAACGACTCACAGCGGGCCCTTATCATGCTATACCTTCTAACCTTCTGCGGCAGATTGACTCTTTGGATATTCGGGCGGCTCCCCGCGCCCTGTCTCCGAGCTGTCGTGCTGCCATGTTCCGCGCTGCGGCCAACAGTCGTGAGTTTGGTGACGCCCAGGCCCGTTTTCATCGTATACGGCATTATGATGTCGATGTTCTGGCAATCCCTCGCCATCGAGACTGGCTTGAATCGAGTATCACATACAACATGATCCAAAATTACAACAGCATCGTCAGCATGAGCCCGGAGCTAGGCCAAGAGGAGATCCCCGACGTCCAGGCGAAGGTTACGACATGTCTTGCTCGACTTCTGAATCTCCCCAGCGCTGCCAGTCTCCTGCTTCCTAGGATTCGTTATTTTCTCCCTGGGGCCCCCATGCCTGTTGCCGAACGTGTAATTTTAAAGATGAAACTCGCCTCCCAGAAGTTCGGGCCATTCGTTTGCACTGCCATCCTTAAGTCTGTGTGCAATGGATGGCCGACCACACGCAGGTACAGGATGTGCACGCGACCCTGCAGGTTTGGCTGCGGCGTGGAGGCGGGAGACAGGATCGATCATTATTTTAGTTGCCCCCTCGCTGTCTCCCTCTTGTGTCGTCTGTTCCGTCCCCTTCCCCGTTGCTATCCTCAATGCGATTTCTCGCGACGCATTTTTGTACATCATCTTAGCTCTCTATCGATGGAGGGGCTGCACGCTTGTCTCCTGATGCATGATATCCTTCTCTCTGTTTACAACACACTCCGGATACAGGATCGCCAAGGCCCCGACGGAGTCGAGAGCATGACCCGAGCTCGCGCCAGAGCGATCGCAAGACGGTCGGCTCGTGTTCGTGCGACGCTCTCCGGCTAGCTTGTGGGCGATGTATGATTCCTTGAGTGCTTGGTTATAGCCCCCATGAGGGGAAGCGGACATTGGCCCCCGGACGGGCTCCCTTGAGGCGGTGCGCTCCTCCTCCTCCTCCTCCTCCTCCTCCTCCTCCTCCTCCTCCTCCCCAGACCCCCTCGAGTCATGAAAGAGTCATGACGGGGAGGTTTTTCTCAATGGTCGGCCCCCGGGGGCCCTCACCGGGCCTCGGGAGCGTCAACAGCAGCGACTCGGGAGGCGCAGAGCCCTGTCGTGGGGAGAGGGTCGGGCCCTCTGGGGGCCGACGTTGTGAAAAATGCATTGCGCCGGGGGTCTGCGAAACAGGAGGAGGAGGAGGAGGAGGAGGAGGAGGAGGAGGGAGGAGGAGGAGAGGAGGAGGAGGAGGAGGAGGAGAGGAGGGGAGGAGGAGGAGGAGGAGGAGGAGGAGGAGGAGGAGGAGGAGGAGGAGGAGGAGGAGGAGGAGGGGGGAGGCCCCCAAAGGGGGCCCGCCGTGCACGCCGTCAGGGCGGAGACTGAGGGCGGGCGGCACTGCCCCCGCGCGGTTGCAGCCTGCGAAACAACGCATCCGTGGGATCGCGCACCACCAGTCAAGCAGTGGCGAAGCGTCCTGGCTCTTCCATAGCCCAACCAAGCAATGTTCTAAGGACCTGTTGTGGTTTCCACGAAATGTTCTTGAAACGTGTCTGGCGGAGGCTGTATTGTGTTGACACATCGGGCTAGCGTTCTAAGAACAATGTCTTTGTTCTTCGAACATCTCTGGGTTCTAAGAAAATTTCGTGGGAGGGCGATAGGAACGCCGGGACGGTCGGTCCCTGCTCAAGTCAGGACGCTGAACCCAGACCCCCGACGTTATGTTTTTTTTTTTTTTCATAACGTCGACCCCCAGAGGTTTCGACCCGTTCCCCGGGACCGCTTCGTCATCCCGAGTTGTTTTTTGACGGTCCCGAGGCCCGGTGATGTCCCCCAGAGGCTGAAAATGACGAAAAACCTTCCGTCGTGATTTCTTCACTACTCGAGGGGGTCTGGGAAGCAGGCACCTTCCGGCTTCTGGCGGGGCGCGGGCTGTCCGGCCGCTCCTCGGGCTATATCCTGCCGCGTGGAGCCTGCTGTATTGTGGCCACGGCCCGCCGTGGCCAGGGAAAACCCTTTTTCGTTCCCTCGGGTGCTGCTCCTGGCGCTCCTGCACAAGGCGTTCCTTTGCAAGCACATCGTCTTCGGCACCGCCTGATTCCGGGGCTTTGCCCTCTCTTGGCCTTGACCCGAGGCCCCTCCTTCTGCCTGCCCCTCTCTGTTAATTAAGGCTGTGCGCGGCCCGCTTAGCTTCGACCGGAAGAGGTGCGCTCTCGACCCGCGGATCAAAAAAAATGTTGCTGGCGCTCAGTGCGACGACGGTATCCACGGGATCGCGCCTCGGAGCTCACCAGCCTCGAACTTATCCTTGTCCATCCCCATCCCTAAGATTGACACGCCAGAAGGCGATGACAATCTTAGGGGTGCGCCCCGAAAAACGAAGGGAATCCCTAAGATTGGCACTGTGATGTGGCGATGCCCAGCTTAGGGATAGGGATATGTTCCAGGCTGGTAAGAAGTCTACGGATGTGGATGTGTTCGTCGCTCGCGGCGCCCGACGTTTCCCCCCACCCCACCCGCGGCAGCCCCCGGACGGCAGCCCCCCCCTCCCCCCCCTGCGACGGACCACCTCGCCCTGCACTTGCGCCCGTGACATCCGACGCCATAATTTCTGTTAGCAAGGTATCGTTCCCCTGGCGTCTACATGTCAGGACACGAGAAGGGACCCCAAACCGCTACCCCTCGCTCGTTTTCGCCCTCCTGGGCCTCCTGGGAGGCCCTCGTCGCTACGGCTGGATCCGCCTCGAAGTTCTGGTCAGCGCGCGCCCTGGCAGAGGTCCTGGGAGTAGGGGTATCGGAAGCATCTGGTTTCCCCACGCTCACCGCGGACCGGCTTTTCGTCCCGCCCTGTCGAGAGGGCCCCAGGGGGCCAAAAGTGGGCAGCAACAGCTTCCGTTGAGCGACGCAGGCCAACGGGCTCGTCTGCACAGCTATCGGCACGTAAGCTGCCCGCGCAAGGTCGCGTAAGTGCCCTCGTCTCCATTATTTGCCGCGCTGGTGGCCCGCGTAAGTCACCGCGCAAGGTTACTATGCCATCTCGCGTAAGACACCTTCCTTTTCGTCGCTAAGTTGTGTTTTGTGCACGGGGCGACGATGTCAGGGCTTCCCCCCGCGGCGGCAAACCCCAACCAGGAGCGGTCAGTGGGCTACATCTCGTGTAAAGCGGGGCAGACCCTTGCCACCGTTTCAAACGACGCGGCAGCACGCGGCAGCCGTGGGGCCCCTCGTCGTCGACGTCGGGGGCGCAGAGCGCTGTGCGAAGGATGCTGGACGATTCTGGGCCTCTGGCCTCTGGAGGAGAGTTTTTCATATGAAGAACTCTCTGGGCCGTAACGCGCGTTATGCCCTCTCCCCCCGCCCCCCTCCATAACGTAACGCCCCCCCCCTCAGTGCGTCCCCGGCACTGCACAGTGCGTCTGGCACCACAGTCTGAGGGGGGGGCGCTACGTTATGCCCCCCCCCCGTTCCCCTTCCCCCTCCCCCCCCATAACGCTTGTTATGGCTGCGAACCCAGACCGCCGACGCAATGATTTGTTTACAACGTCGACCCCCAGAGGTCCCGACCCTTCTTTCCCCATGACCAGCTTTGCATCCTGAGTCGTTTTTTGACGCTCCCGAGGCCCGGTTAGGGCCGAAAATAAAGGAAAACCTCCCGTCATGATTTTTGCATTACTCGAGGGGGTCCGAGAATGCATACATGCGCTCGAGGCACCCGGAGGCCTCGGGAGGCCCCCAGGGGCGCCCTGCGAGGTCCTCTTGGGGAAGCCCTCGGGGGCCCGTGCGGACCCCTCGATCGCTCCTCCCCGCGGACCTCGGCCTCGCGGTGGCCGCCACCATCGCTTCCGCATTGCCCACCCTCCGCCCGTGCTTCTACGGTTGTGGAGGACGATCCACGGAAAGGAGGCACGTTGCCAAATAATATCACGATGTCTAAAACATGTTATACACATGTTTACACATGTAAAAACATGTTTAGAACATGTTTCCTACTTTTGGAACACATTCTAAACTCAATGATAGCACTGCTAGGGTGTCCATTGTCATGGCATCCACACTTTTAACAGTGGGAACCCATGCCAAGAAACACCACCCTGCTTGCCTCCAGCTTGCCCTGGGGCTCCTGGGTTTCGACGGCTTCCGCTGTGGGAAGCGTGGCGTTCCCGCACCAAAAATCATTGCACGGCCCTGGGGTCGCAGGGCTGGGTTTCCCGTGGAAGGTGTCCTTTGGTCGAGCCCCTGCTGTAGCCGCATGCTCCCGAACTGCCCACCCTCCGCCCGTGCTGTTGGGCGGGCGCCCCACCCGCCGGAGGAGGGCCGCGTGTCGTTCCTGGCCGCGTCGGCGGCCACGGCCGCGGAGGCGGCGAGGGCGGAGGAGGGCCCGGCGGACGCGGCCAAGGGCGAGAAGGCGCGGGCGCTCGCCAGGGGAGCGGGTCCCGAGGAAGACGGGTCCTGAGGCTTCTCGCCGCTTTCGGGCTCTCGGGGCCCTCCACTGGCCCCGGGGCTGTAAGTACGGGGGCCACACGCGAACCCTACCCCTCCCCCCCACGATTTCTCAGGGGGAGGGTGGGGTTCACTTCGTTCGGGAGCTCCCGAGCGAAGTGAACCCCACCCTCCCCCTCAGAAATCTTGGGGGGTAGGGGTAGGGTACGCGTGTGGCCCCCTAGTAAGGAAACGACTCGGGATGGGAAGTTCGACCTGGGGGAAGGCTTTACGGGCCCAGGGGTCCAGGGCCCGTTTCGTGGCCCCCTCATGCCCGGGTGTGCAGCTAATTTGGGCGTGTGTTTTGCGTGTGTGTGTGTGTGTTGTGTTGTGTTGTGTTGTGTTGTGCTGTGCTGTGCTGTGCTGTGCTGTGCTGTGTTGTGTTGTGTTGTGTTGTGTTGTGTTGTGTTGTGTTGTGTTGTGTTGTGTTGTGTTGTGTTGTGTTGTGTTGTGGTGTGTTGTGTTGTGTTGTGTGTGTGTGCGTGTGTGCGTGTGTGCGTGTGTGTGTGTGTGCGTGTGCGTGTGTGTGCGTGTGCGTGTGCGTGTGCGTGTGTGTGTTGTGTGCGTGTGCGTGTGCGTGTGCGTGTGCGTGTGCGTGTGCGTGTGTGCGTGTGTGCGTGCGTGCGTGCGTGCGTGCTGTGCGTGGGTGGGGTGGGTGTGTGGTGTTGTGTGTGTGTGTGTGTGTGTGTGTGTGTGTGTGTGTGTGTGTGTGTGTGCGTGTGAGTGCGTGCGTGCGTGCGTGCGTGCGTGCGTGCGTGCGTGCGTGCGTGCGTGCGTGCGTGCGTGCGTGCGTGCGTGCGTGCGTGCGTGCGTGCAGTGCGTGCGTGCGTGCGTGCGTGCGTGCGTGCGTGCGTGCGTGCGTGCGTGCGTGCGTGCGTGCGTGCGTGCGTGCGTGCGTGCGTGCGTGCGTGCGTGCGTGCGTGCGTGTGTGTGTGTGTGTGTGCGTGTGTGTGGGACGGGCAGCTCCCCAGAGATCCAACGCATGGAAAAGACCAAGACGGAGGTGTTTCGCACATTTCGGCCCCTATAGGAGCCCTCGCCGGGCCTCGGGACCGTCAACAAAACGACGCAGGATGAAAAACCGGTCCTGGGGAGCGGGTCGAGACTTCCGGGGGCCCCGTATTGAAAAAGTCACGACGTCGGGTCTCTGGGCCCCCAGATCTCCGACGCTCCGACTTGGTCCGTCGGGGCGCGTTGTTCCTCAGATGCTGCCCTTCGTCGCCTGCTGCCGGGCCCCGGGTACTCTGAGTGTGCCTCCATGGTTTTGGGCCCCCGGACTACAAGGGCCTCCCCGGAGTACAGGGCTCCCCCCCCCCCTGGAGGACTACAAGGGCCCGCCCCCCCGGACGACAGGGACCCCCCCCCGCGGGACTACAAGGAGGACCCCCCCCCCGGACTGCAAGGGCTCCCGGGACCCCACCCCGGACTAGGGCTCCTCCCCCCCCAGCCTATACAGGCCCCCCCCCCCCGGACTGAGGCTCCCCCCCCCCCCAGACTACACAGCCCCCCCCCCTGGGCGACGAGCGCGCCGCGGGGAAAGGCTCGGGAGCTCCCGGGCGGCGCGTTGAGTTGAGAAAGCACATCGGCGGATGACCGTGTCTCGAGAGATCCCCGCGGCAGCGACGGTCGGCACGTCCACTCGAGACGGCAGTTCCGTTCCTCGGCTCGCATCGGTCATGTCGTCAACCCGTGATACGTCAGCTCGTCGTTACGTCCGCTCGGCTCGTCAGTGCGGTGCAACGATTGGCGTCCAGGGTCCTGAGTGCGCTCTCCAGGGTGCAGTCTCCTCCAGGGGAGGTTCTCAAGAGGGAGGCGATCTCGCGATCTCTGCCCCTGAGACGTGCACCGAACACAGGCATGTCCGCTGGATGTGGTGTCCCGATCCCTGCATTTGTTGCCCCCGATTTCTGCCCCCTGGAGGCCGTTTTCTGGCCCCATGGGGGGGGGGGGGGCAAAAACGCATCCGAGATGGAACTTGTTTCCCGGGGGAAGGGTCGGGAGTTCTGGAGGGCTTGCCTTGAAGACGCCAGCGTGAAACAACAACTCAGATCTGGGCGACGCCACAGGATCGCGACAGAAGGTTGTTCGTCGACCTCGGCCTATGGAGGCCATTTCCCAGCCCTCTGGCCGTCAGAACACGACTACAGGATGCCAAGTTGCTCCCACGAAGGAAGTCGAGGTACCCGCGGGGGCATGTCGCAAAAAAATGTGTCGTAGGAGGCGAGGGGGCCCAGGCATTTCAAATATTCCCAAGCATTCTGTGTTGAGCTGGGTCTTCGTTTTGAAGACGCACCGCCCCCATGCGTCCTCCCTCCTCCCTCCTCCCCTAATGTCTGCCTCTGCCCTCCGCATGTCCATGTCGGCACACCCCTCACACGCTTTGTGTCTCCATGGGGAGCTCCACCGAAGTCCCCAGTGGCTGCGTTCGGGTGCCTGCTCCACACCACCTCGGCGCACCCCTCGCACGTTTCGCGGCCCCTGTCGGGAGCTCCACCGTAGGCCCCAGTGGTTTCGTTCGCATGCCTGGTCCAGACCATGTCGGCTCACCCCTCAGACCTGTCGTGGCCCCATGGGAGCTCCACCGAAGGCCCCAGTGGCTGCGTTCGCAGACCTGGCCCACACTATGCCCGGCGCGCCGCTCACGCGCTTCGCGGCCCTACCAGGAGCTTTTCCCGAGGCCCAGGTGGCAGGACTTGCACACATGGCAGCGCCCACGTCGGCGCACCCTCGCACGCTCCGTGGCCGCATGGAGAGCTCCACCTAAGGCACCTCTGGCAGAAATCGCATGCCGCGTGCGTGACCGCGCCGATTGTCGGCGCACCCTTCCCCACAGGAAGCCCCACCGAAGACCTCAGTGGCCGGACGCGCACACGGTAGGTTTGTGTCGTGTCGACCGGCGGCGACCCAGCCGGCTGCGTTCAACGTTGAACGCTGCGGGCGACCCAGAATCTTTCGATGTGGAACGACTTGGACGTTTCGGAAACGGCCGATCGTTCTCCGAGGCATCGCCGACGCTGCCGTTGCATAAGCGATGCATCGGGGATGCGGCGCGACCCTCCGACCCCATCTACTCGGACCCCTTTCGAGGAGGCCTCTAGAGAGCTCCCAGCCAGACGAGCCGACTGCGGAGGTCTGCGCTGGTTCGCTCGGCGATGGCATTTGGGTGTGCCCGTGCAGTCCCAGTCGGTGTCGCTCGTGGACGTGCGTCTCGGCAGGCACATTCGGTTCGACTGCTTCCAGACGTCGATGAGCTACCCCGCTGGGGAGGGCTCGGAGTGCGGTGCCGGTCGCACGTGGAGGGCCCCCGGCAGCTTTCATTTCAAGTCGTTTTGATAAAATGGGTGTTGGGCAATCTTCGATGCACTGGCACCTCCGGCACCAGGAGGCGCCAGAGAAATCGGCTATGCGCAGCTGGTGCGCTGCCCCCTTCCCTTCCTCCACCTCCTCCTCCTCCTTCGCCTCCTCACTCCTCCTCCTCCTCCTCCTCCTCCTCCTCCTCCTCCTCCTCTCCTCCTCCTCCTCCTCCTCCTCCTCCTCCTCCCCCCTCCAGGACGGGATACTCCCCCCCCCCCGTCCGACCGACCCGACTCGAGGCCGAGCGGCTCGTCACGGGAGGAGCTCACCACAGAGAGGATCGGCTCGGCCGCGCCCGGCGGGAGGGTCGGACCGGGGGAGAGCCCCGGGGCTCAAGGCCTGGTTGCCGCCCGCCCCCCCCCCCCTGGGTGCTCCTGCCAGGAGGCGGGGAAGAAGCCGGAAGCGAGGGGCCCGGGCTTCTTCAAGACGCTGCTGAAGGACCACAGGGGGGGGAGAAGCTCCGCGGGCACGTCGGAGGGACCACTGTGGTCCGATCGATCGGATTCGGCATCGGTCCTGGCCAGCTCGCTGCGATTCGATCCGATCCGATTCCGACTAGGCTCGATCAGGTTCGATATCGATGTCGATTTCCGACGATCCGATGCGGCCCGAGGCTTGCATGGCGCTATTGTGCATCCTGGCGCGGCGGGTTCGATTAGGTTTCGACTCCGTGCCGATGCGGCCCGATTCGATGCACGTTCCGATCCGACGATTCGATGTTGACCGCTCCTTCATCGGGCAAGCGACCATCCTGCCCACAGGTGCCCCAGGGAAACTTCTCATCCGCCGATGGCCCCAGGGACGCACGTGAGAAGTTCTGGGGGCCCTTCCCAGACATGCGATGCCCTGATTTGTTCAATGCGACGCCCCCGGAAGTCCCAACCCTTTCCTTGGGACCCGTTTTTCATCCTGAGTTGTTTTTGTTGACGGTCCCGAGGCCCCGTAGGGGCCCCCAGAAGCTGAAAACGACGAAGAGCCGCGCGTCCTGATGTTTCCCCACGCGAGCATGCCTGGGCTGGGAAACATGAACATCGTCGGCACCTGTGCCCTCATGGATGTCCTGCATCTGCGACCGCGTTCAAAGCCGCCGTGCGGGTCCGATCGACGCTGGGGTGTGCCCCGCCTGGGCGCACCTGGCTGCAGGCCCCCTTCGGAAGCTGAGCCCCCGCCGGCTCAGAAGTCTGACCCGCAGGGGTCGGGGCCGCACGTGGCTGCCAACCTCGAAGCAGAAAACAGCGCCACAAGCACAAGCTGTCGTCCTCTAGTGATGGTCCAACCTACTTTAGCCCTGATCACCAGAAACACTTTCGAGCACCAAGAAAACACGGGAACGTGAGGGTTTTCACGTGTCGGGCCCTGGGAGGCGACACTCGTTCGATACTGTTTCGATACTTTTCTGGGTGCTCGAACTCATTTCAGGGATTGGGTTCATTCAGAACGATGGGAGCAACATAATCCTCCTCGTCCTGGCTCCCCGGGGGCGTGGGCCAGGCCCCCGTCACCCACCACCCACCACACCGCCCCAGCCAAACCCGCAGGCCTCCATGTGCCCTCCATCTCCAGTTGGCGGGGGTGTGTCGGGGAGCATTGGAAGCATATATATACATATATATGTGTGTGTGGAAAAAAACAACAAAACAGACAAAAACAGAAGAAGAAGAAGAAGAGACAACAAATATTTAAAACAACGCCTGGAACTCTCATACCCCCGCAGCCCGACATTCGGGTTTTCGGCTTCGGCTGGGGTGGTCACGGCGCGAGGGCCCGCCTCGGTGCCCGACGCGGCCGGACACTCCCGCCTCGGCCTCCGGGCCTCCCCCTCGGCCTCGCCCTCCGCGCCTCCCCGGCCGAGGGCCCAGCGGCGCGGCCCGGAGGCCGCACCGTCGCGCGGCCGCGGCCGCGGCTGCCACCCTCGACGCAGAAGAAACGCCACCCACCAAACGACGGTGGAGGCGTTTGTTAACGACGAAACAGCGGCGAAGCGTCCTGGCTCGCCTATAGCCCCACCAAACAATGTTCTGAGAACCTTTTGTGGTTTCCACGAAACGTTCTTGAGACGTTTCTGGCGGAGTCTGTCTTGTTTTATGACATCTGGTTTATGTTCGAACATTTTTGGGTTCTAAGAACATTCCGTGGTAGGACTATAGGAATGCGGGGACGGTCGGTCCCTGGTCAACTACGGTGGAGGCGTTTGTTAAGGAATACATCGTCCCAGGAGACGCCAGACCCTGGGGGATTCCTTATCCGATGAGGGCGGCGGTGGTATCCATGGCCGATCCGCGAGTGGCGTTCCTCTGGCTTCCAGACCCTGGGTTCCTGAAAGATGTTCTCTAAGGGTTCCTTATCCAATGCCCCCACCGTGCCCAAGCCCAACCCGAAGGCCTCAATTAGCCCTTTTTTTTTTTCAGTGTGTGTGTGTATATGTCGGGGAGCATGTAGAAAACACGCACACATGGAGCCCGTACCCCCCCCCAACCCGACATTCGGGTCTTCGGGTTGGCTTGGGGTGGTCTGGGAGGTAGTCCGAAGCAACGCCGCAGACATGTTTACGTCGGCGGCTGGGCAGGGTAGCTGCGCTGGCGGAGGGCTGCCTAAACGGGGGGTGCCGTTGCAGCGAGCTGCACCGCCACGCAGGAAGAGGGGACGGAGCAGGAGGAACGGCCGCAGGAGGGGGCAGAGCAGGAGGAGCGAGGCCGAAGAAGCGCCATGAGCATGAGCCTGGACCTGGCGAGCACGAGGATGAGCTCGCAGAGGGCTCCGGAAGGAGGAGGGGGAGGAGGAGGAGGAGGAGGAGGAGGAGGAGGAGGAGGAGGAGGAGGAGGAGGAGGAGGAGGAGGAGGAGGAGGAGGACAGGGTGTCCCGGAGCGCTCTCGGAGCGCTCCGGGAAAGCCCTGAGGCGCCCGAGACGTCCTCCACAGCCTCGCGATCGCAGAGATGCTCGACTCATCCGCACCGGATGATCATCCTAAGTCGGGCCTGTCCCTCTACAGGGGGAACATTCAAAAATAGTCAAAAAAATAGTATGGGGACTATTTTTTGAATATTTTTGGGCATCTTTTGAGCATTTGTTGGTGTATATTTACCTAACAGCTTTTGCTGATAGGTTTCTAGTGGGGTCAAAAGAGAGCAGCAGATGACTCCACAGGGGGGTCGGGGCGGCATCCGGGGAGCTGTGTCCGAAGTCGTGTCCGAATGCGCTTTTCGCAAACAGTCACACACTTCGTGCTCTTCGACCTCCCAGAACTCCATTCCCGGGCCACATTCTGAATGCCTGGAGCCAATTGTAGGCCACTTCGTGCTCTTCGACTTCCCAGAACTCCATTCCCGGGCCACATTTTGGATGCCCGGAGCCAACTGTAGGCCACTTCGTGCTCTTCGACTTCCCAGAACTCCATTCCCGGGCCACATTTTGAATGCCCGGAGCCAACTGTAGGCCACTTCGTGCTCTTCGAGTTCCCAGAACTCCATTCCCGGGCATGATTTTGAATGCCCGGAGCCAACTGTAGGCCACTTCGTGGTCTTCGAGTTCCCAGAACTCCATTCCCGGGCATGATTTTGAATGCCCGGAGCCAACTGTAGGCCACTTCGTGCTCTTCGAGTTCCCAGAACTCCATTCCCGGGCACATTTTGAATGCCCGGAGCCAACTGTAGGCCACTTCGTGCTCTTCGAGTTCCCAGAACTCCATTCCCGGGCCACATTTTGATGCTGATGCAGAGGCTGAGAATGGTGATGCTGAGGCTGAGGCTGAGGCACAGGCAGGCTGAGGCTGATGAGGCTGAGGCAGGCTGAGGCTGAGGCCGAGGCTGAAGGCAGGCTGAGGCAGACGCTGAGGCAGGCTGAGGCTGAGGCAGGCTGAGGCTGAGGCTGAGGCTGAGGCAGGCTGATGCTGAGGCAGGCTGAGGCTGAGGCTGAGGCTGAAGGCAGACTGAGGCTGAGGCAGGCTGGGGCAGACGCTGAGGCAGGCTGATGCTGCAGGCAGGCTGAGGCTGAGGCTGAGGCGGATGCAGGCTGATGCTGAGGCAGGCTGAGGCACAGAGGCTGAGGCTGAAGGCAGACTGAGGCTGAGGCTGAAGCAGGCTGAGGCTGAGGCAGGCTGAGGCTGAGACTGAGGCAGGCTGATGCTGAGGCAGGCTGAGGCTGAGGCTGAGGCAGGCTGAGGCTGAGGCAGGCTGAGGCTGAGGCTGAGGGTGAGGCTGAGGCTGAGGCTGAGGCAGGCTGAGGCAGACGCTGAGGCAGGCTGATGCTGAGGCAGGGTGAGGCTGAGGCTGAGGCTGATGCAGGCTGAGGCTGAGGCAGGCTGAGGCTGAGGCCGAGGCTGAAGGCAGGCTGAGGCTGAGGCTGAAGCAGGCTGAGGCTGAGGCTGAGGCAGGCTGAGGCTGAGGCTGAAGCAGGCTGATACTGAGGCAGGCTGAGGCTGAGGCAGGCTGAGGCACAGAGGCTGAGGCTGAAGGCAGACTGAGGCTGAGGCTGAAGCAGGCTGAGGCTGAGGCTGAGGCTGAGGCTGAGGCTGAGGCAGGCTGATACTGAGGCAGGCTGAGGCTGTGACTGCGACTGCCGCTGCCACTGCGACTGTCATCGCGAATGCGACTGCGACTGCGAGAACAGCAGAACTCTACAACTGGATTCTCATCTGAATCTTAAGGGGAATGCTTCCATATATGCTTCTACACATCGCTGTTAGGTTGCTTTGCCGGGATAATTTTCATTTTTCGTTCAAAATCCCCCTGTAGGGGGACAGGCCCGACCCAATGTTAATCCTCGTCCTGGCTTCGTCTTGGTGAACCGTCCGCGCTCCGCGCGGATCTCTTCTCGGATCGGCGCGGGGCCCAGCTGCCAGCGCCCCCGCACGCCATGCGCGCCAGGGAGGGGCGCTCGGCGCGGATAGCCAGGACGTCCGCGCGGATCTCCGAAAGTCACAAGCTTGTGTGCAGCTGCTGCTTCTTCTGCAACTGCAGCACGCCCTCCTAAGTCAGGAGGGAAAAAACACTTTTTGGTCTGCGGGTCGGGAGCGGGCCCCTTCCGGTCAAGAGCGAAACGGGACGCGGGTAGCCCCAATTGGGGAGACAGGGCGCGGGCGGGCGGGGCCTCGGGCGGCCAGAGGGCTCAGAAAACAGGCGGGAGGGAAAAAACACACAGACACAACCAATCGTCGACCCCCCAGAGGATATGGGAAACTATGGGAAGTGTGGGGGAAGACAAAAACCCAGAAAGAAGGGAAAATATGGGGAATCCTGCTATTTGTGTGTATTTCTTTGTGTGTCCCAGGGCCCCTTGATCTCCGAAAGTCGCAAGTTTGTCTGCAGCTGCTGCTTCTTCTGCAACTGCAGCACGCTCTCCTAAGGTCCGCGTCTGCTGCCCCTGACCCCCCCCCCGACGCCATGTCTTTTCCATTGACAACGCCGGCCCTCGGGGCCCTCGAGCCATTCCCCGGGACCTGGTCCGGCCTGGCTCCCGGTTCCCGAGGGCTTGGCCCTTCAAGGTCTGGCGTCTGGCCTCCCGCGAGGGGCCGCCCAGGAGCCGCCTCCTCTCCCACTGGCCCGCGAGGGCCTCCCCCCGGTCGCTCCCGCGCGGGCAGGGACCTCCCGCGAGCCCTCCCATGAGGAGGAGGGCGCGAGGGGGGAGAGGGGGGGGGAGGAGGGAGGGAGGAGGGAGCGAGCCCTCCCATGGGAGGAGGGCGCGAGGGGGGAAGGGCGCGAAGGGGCGAGGGGGGAGGGGGGGGAGGAGGGAGGAGGGGGGGGAGGGAGGGGGGGGGGAGGGAGGGAGAGGGGGGGAGGAGGGAGGGCAAGAGGCAGGAGAGAAGCGGACCCACACTGTGGTCACGAGGCGCGCGCCACGCCGCCCCCCACCGAACCGGCGAAACGCGCGAGCCCGGGACGAAGCTCGGGAGCCCGAAGAAACTGCCAGTTTGGCGGCACTTCCCCACGCTTGGCCGCAGTGGAAAGGTGTCCCGCGCGTCGGGGGGGGGAAGGGGTCTCCCCTCTCCGGTCGGTGCCGGAGGGAAGCTCGAAGCGAGAGGTCGGCGGGATGCGTAAGCCGAAGCAAATGAGCAGCACCGAAGGGAACTCGATACAGCAAAAAACCCTAATAAGGACGCGCGGCTTTGCTCAGGGTACCCTTGCGTCCTTGCTCTTCCTTGCTCTTGCGTCCTTGAGGTTTTCGTCGCCCGCCGTCCCAAAAATCCCAACTTCGGCTTCCAAGGGTCTTGCGTCCGTACCGCGCGTCCTTATTAGGGTTTTTGACTGTACGGCCCACCCAGCACCAAAATAGCACGGGCCGTCGGGCAACCCCAAATCCCATGCATCACGGTGAGGCTCCCAAACGGGATCGTCACTCCCGAGGAACAGCCCCACTGCTCCACCGTGCCTCACCACACCCATTCCGAGGAGAAAGTTCCAGAACGCAGGTGCTAGATTCTACCACAGCGGCTTCGACCGGATTGAGAACAAATGTGTCACACCATCAAGACGGACGACCACCATTCAGGGAATTGCGGAAAGCATAAATACTTCATAGAACCAGCAAGTAGCGAGTATCCCACCAACAGGCGCCAAACTGTCCACACAGGTAATGACGTACTCGTGGCACTGTGCGTGAAATACAGCAGAGTATTATATCTCACAATGCCCAAGCACCGTCAGACGCTGCACCCGCCATCCTGAAAAGAACTACTATGCGCGGGTCAGGCTCAGCCTGTAAAAGCCTACCACCACTACAAAAAAATACGTCCTCCTTTCGCTGACCAGGCTGCGCCAAACCCACTACAAGAAGTTGTTAAATGAAAGCAGCAACTCGCAACCAAGGACCAGCCCAACAAAGTACCGGAAGCTCGCCACGGATGTTGGAAATGATGTCGCCGCGCTGCTCGACACACTTGGCATGGTACCACACGGTGCCCGCGTTCAGTTTCGTGTGTGATTGGAGAAGAGTGCGGGAAGGCATCGGTCACAAGCATGCATCACCATGATTCTTCATATGTGCTTCTAGAATTTACCGCACACGATGGCCCCGAGCATATTCATGAACATCCGTGTACGCACCCGTGTAGCCACCGAGGACCTTTATTGGCGTAGATGCGGGTTTCGCCCATGCTGAGAGCGGACGAACTACTTTCTGCTTTGGGTGGCAGAGAGCTTCCATCGCGCAGCCAGTGGATACCGACCCGTCACATTCGCCAAGGTTGCTGATTGTTTTCATGCTACCTGCGAACAGGGGAATGGCTGAGCGGTGCGAGCACCGTGGGTGTAGGTCCCGCCTTGCTGTAGCCGCTCTGTCTGCCACTCGCCACCGTGGCTGCTGCTGGGATCTGCCCGGCTGTCGCCTCGAGAATCAGGACCTCGTACAACCGACTGCGATCCCAATGGTTGGGCTGGGATTTCGCGTAAGGCCCGACGAGGCGGTTCCAAGCAGTCCCAAGCAGTTCCAGCAAACGCTGGAATGATGAGCGCTGGTGCCTCCGGAATGGCTCCGGCACCGGGAAGCTGGAAACTACTCAGATCTTCAATCTGGATTGTTTGACGAAGGAGCAAGGAGGAAGGTTGGGAGAATGGAGGGGGTGAGGTGGAGGAGGAGGAGGAGGAGGAGGAAGAAGAGGAGGAGGAGGAGAGTTAAGGACAAAGGGAAGGACAGGGGGCGAGGAGGAGGAGGAGGAGGAGGAGTAAGGAATGGAGGCAGGGAGGGAGGGGGAGCAGCGGAGTGGGGGAGGGAGGGAGTGAGGGACGGTCGAGGCGGCGGCGTTGCCGCCCCTCCCCCTCCCCCCTGGACAGGACGGCGTGCCGAGCCAGTTCCCCTTCTGACGCGACGTTCGGCCCCGCAGGGCCCCCCCCCCCGCCTCCTTCTCGCCTCTCTGCTGCCAGCTGCGCCGCTCGCGAGAGGGGGAGGCAGCTAGGGAGGGAGGGAGGATGGGAGGGGAGGGAGGGGCCAGGAGCGAGGGACGGAGAGGAGCGAGGAACGAGGAGGAACGAGGAGGGAATAGCGAGCATGGAGGAGAAGTGAGGGAGGGAGGAAGGACGGCGATCATCCCAGGCCTCTTCGCTTCGTGGACTGGAGGAGGGACGATCCATGTTCTTGGTTGTGTTTCCGATTTTTTCTGGGCCACCTCGCTGCCGCCATTGGCCATTGGATCCGTCTCGAGATTCTGTCTGGATCGCGACCCAGGACGGGGTCCAGGGGTCAACTTCTCGGGGCCGGCGTGGAGGAACCCCACGCCCCGTAGGGAAGTGCAACTCTGGCGTTTCGCAATCGCGGGACTGTAAATCGGAGGAGGGTGGGGGGGCGAGAGGTTGCTGGAACAGGGCCCGAAAGGGGCCCCCCTGGGGCGCCGAGTGTGCCCGAAAGGGCGCACCTGTCTTTACCACCCCTGTTCTTTCATTCTCTTGCACAGCTGTGTTCCGGAGCTCGAACCTCATTGTTTTCGTCGTTCGCTCGTCTACTCGTGGCCTGTCCCCCTCCCCTGGCCTACCCCTGGCCCTCGCCCCAGCCCCCTCGCTCCCCCTGGCCCCCTCGCTGCCTGATCGTGCCGGAGCCAGGACACGCGTGCCACTTGTTGCGCCCTCCCCTCCCCCCCCAGAAAATACTGGGGGGTCCTGTCATGCCTCCAGGGGCTCTTTGCCCCGCCCGGGCGGCCGGGTCCGCGGGCGCCCTCGAGGGCGCGAAGTTGTTCGCGCTTCGCGGTTCGGCTCCGATGAAACTATGGGTAATCTTGTTATTTGTGTGCAGAATTTGTGTGTCCCAGGGCACCCCTCATCCAGGGGCGCCAGAATGATCCTGAACGGCCACCAGAGGCCCGAGTCAGTGCCCGAGCGCCTGGGGGCGGGAGGTCAGGGGGCAGCGTGCGGGGGGGCACAGGCTCCTGGAGGCCTCGGGGTGGAGCGGGTCGATCCCAGGTGGCCTATGGCTGGCCGAGAGGGGCTCAAAAGCCCACCCCGTAACGGTCCTCGAACTCATCCCTATCCCTAAGATTGACACGCCAAAAGGCGATGACAATCTTAGTGATGCGCCCTCAAAAACTAAGGGAATCCCTAAGATTGGCATCGTGATAAGGAGATGCCCAGCTTAGGGATAGGGATATGTTCCAGGCTGGTAAACCCCGCCCAGGAACGTGCGGTCTGGCTGTCGGGGGCCTGTCGCCGGTCTGTCGGCGATGCATCGCAGGTGCCAGGCCGATGTGCCTCACCAGGGCAAGCGCGGCCTCCCGAGACGCAGGAGGGCATCTTGGCACCCCCATCAGGTCTGGGCGAGGCAGCAAGAATCGCAACGTCCACGTGTTCCCCGTTTTCGGCCTCTGAAGGCCTTCTTCCTGGCCCCAAGGCCGTCAGAAAATGATTCGAAATCAAAGATCGGCCCCCAGGACGAGGTCGAGATCCCCGAGGCCTCACGACACCTCAGACTTTCAAGCACCACCTAGCCAAACCTTCCAAATGTTTCCCATGTGCACAGTTTGAGGTAATTCTATGCTTGCAGGGCTGGTCATCGCGCGGAGCTCCCTGGTATTTTATGGGCATTAAGAATGTGACTTTAGCATTTACACATCTGGCGTGTGGCTCATTGTTTAACAGCGTTTCCTCGCGTCAGCGCCTCGCACAAATTGTTACAGCTCCTGCCGCCTACAAGATGGAAGCAGCTTGCCTGTCAAGGTCATCGTGTGTTGAACGTGATTTGGTCGAATGATCGTTGTTTTGTATTTCAAGTGAAGCGTTCTTCTCACTATACAAGCCCGTGAAGCCCTCGCTGCATAAGTGGGTGACCGCCGTAGTGAAAGGAAGCGCTTAAGCTGAGTTGTGAGTAGTGCGCTGGTGTCGGGGAGGCATGCCTCGTAACAGACAGAAGCGCATAACCATAAACTGTCGGAGGTCCGCGCGGATGTCTTAGATAGGAGCTGGACCTGTCTCGCGGCCACAGGCGCCGCCAGGGGGGTCCGCGCCGATCTCGGGAATCCGCGCGGACGTCCGAAGGTTTAGAATTGCACAGCCGCTTCTTCTCATGATTATGGTCACTCCTGTGCTTCTTCTTGTTCTTCTTCGTCTGATGTGGCAGAGGAGGAGGAGGAGGAGGAGGAGGAGGAGGAGGAGGAGGAGGAGGAGGAGGAGGGGGAGGAGGAGGAGGAGGAGGAGGAGGGGGAGGAGGTCACCCCCTGGTCTCCCGGATCCTCGACGAGCCGGGGCGCCCCAGCCCGTGCCTCTGCGGGGCGGGCGGCGCGGTCCGCGGCCCCCGAGCGCCCCACTCCTTGGCGAAGAGGGCGCTCGGCGCCCGCGCGCCTCTGCTGCGCGTCTGCCCGGGGCGGCCTTCGGGCGGCCCGCCGCTGCAGGCCGCCCAAACGCCCAGCCGTGCGCCTGCCGCCTGCCCCGGCCAAGGCCAGCTGCCAGTCCTCCTCCCTCCTCCCTGCTCCTCCTCCCTCCCCCCTCCTCCTCCATCGCCTCCTCCGCCTCCTCCTCCTCCTCCTCCTCATCCTCTCCTCCTTCATCATCATCATCATCCTCCTCCAAGGGGAACGCTGTGCCTCCTCCTCCTCTCCTCCTCCTCCTCCTCTCCTCTCCTCCTCCTCTCTTCTCTATCCTTCCCCTCCCTCCTCCTCATCCTCCTCCTCCTGCTTTCTCCTCCTCCTCCTCCTCCTCCTCCCTGTCCTCCCTCCTCCTCCCCTCCTCCCTCCTCCTCCTCCTCCTCCCTCCTATTCCTCCTCCTCCTCCTCCTCCTCCTCCTCCTCCTCCTCCTCCTCCTCTTCCTTCTCCTACACTCCTCCAAATCCCTGGCCAATCTACGATTGGAGCTTCCTTCCAGAACCTAGATTCCGTATTCAATTGTTCCTAATCCGATGCTTTCACCGTAGTAGACGAGGGGGGTCGAAGAGTGTAAGAAAGCGGTTGGGCAGAACACGAGGTCCAAACAACTTCCCCCATGAAGTGCAAACTTTGCCAAACCATCTTGGCGTAGGATCAACCATCTACAGGCCTGAGCACATAGTTTCGCAAGGCAGGCGGGACGAAGGAGGGAGATCTCCCCAAAGGCCACAAGAGCGTGAGCGGCGTGCCAAACTGGGGCGGGTCCGCCACGTGCACGCTGCCATTGGGATCGTCGATGGAGCACCCGATGTGGCCATGAAAGGCTGAAGGGATGCGCCAAAACGAGACGGGGCCGCCGCGCGTTGTCTGTCATCGGGGCCTTCGGCGGAGCATCCCACGGAGCCACGAGCGCGTGAGAGGTGTGCCCAAATGGGGAGGGGCCGCCATGCGGGCGCTGCCATTGGGGCCTTCGTTGCAGCTCCCTATGGGGCCAAAACGCGCGTGAGCGGTGCGCCGACATGGACCTGCGGAGGGCAAGAGCAAGAATTTGAGGAGGAGAGGGAGGAGGAGAGGAGAGGAGAGGAGATGAGAGGAAGAGGAGAAAGGGGGTGCTGCTGATTCAAAACGAAGAGCCAACACCACAGGATGGCTGAGGAGAGAGGTTCGCCGACATGGCCCCTAAGCAGCGTGTTTCTAGCAATATATGTGGCGCGATCTACACCGTGCAAGTTGTGTTGTGCATTCCATGCTGTGCACCCCATGTTGTGCAAACACTACGAGGTAATGTGTTATGCCAACTATGTTGCGCAGTTCATATGGGACAGTATGCGTCGTGTAACTTATCAGGTGCCATATCTGGAACAGTATATACGGTGCAATATATGCTGTACAGTCTATGATTTGCACTCTCGGTTATGCAACCTATGTTGCGCAGTCTAGCAGTGGCGACAGGGTGGCGACGGCGACAGTAGGTGAGACCGACGGTGTGCATTCGATGGTGCGCAAAAGAATGGGAAGACTTGTGGTTGCCAACTCCACTTAGCACAAGAGCCCCACTCACCCACCCGCAACTTGGTTCTCAAAACCCATGCGGCGGCGATTGCGATGAGTGCTTGACGTTGGCTGGTGTATCTGTGGCCGTGCAAGCCCGCGCATGCTCGCGCGCACAATTGCCAGCTAGTTTGGAACGACCGACGCGGCCGCGGTGGCGCTGACCGCTGGGCACTTCCCAGCGGACACTTCAGTGCGATTCGGGTGCGGGTGCGGTATCGTGGCGACGTCGACAAAGGTAGACACGATGATGATAGTAGTGATGATGGTAGCGATGATGACGATGACGGCGACAAGGCCAATGACGGCGCCGATGGTGATCACGCCGGTGACGATGAGAATGTTATTTCGGCTTTGGGTGTAATTCGACATGCGCGCGCGGCCGACACGCGGGAGCGGCCCGCATGGTATGATTTGACGGGTCTCTTGCGTCCCAAGCGCGCTCGAGGGAGCTCGAATGATTTTGACATGCGACGCGACATGCCCGCTTGGTCGAATGTGATGAACATGTTGCAAGCTTGTTTGCTTTCGCACCAAAATTCGCAAGAACGCGCGCGCATACGTATTTCTTGAAAACGGATGTTGCAAACCCAATGTTGTTTTGAAGGATTCCGGCATGCGCGCGCGACAACGCTCGTATTTGCACGTCGCCCAAAATTTTGCAAGGAGGTATTGCGACAGCGCGCGCGGAAGGACGCTCGAACGATTTAGACCTGCACGCGAGAACTGCACGTGTGTTTTCATGTGTTAAAAGTGTTGAACAACAGTTGAAACATGCAATATCTCGAGCGCAAGCATTTTTTGAAAACCGTGTGTTGCCAAACCATTGTATTTATATGCCTTCGGGGCACCCGACTTTGAAGTCAATGCGACCATGAGGTTTTCAAGGGATTCAGCATGCGCTCGCGACGACGTGCGCGCGGGCGCATCGTCCAGACTGTTGCACAGGATTTGGGGGAATAGCTGAT